GCAATGCCTGCCTTTGACAGCTTCCTCTACACATTTTCTAGTCTGTTATCATGTTCCTCTTGAGAGGCTCCAAACACAAGAACATAGTACATTTGACATAAAACATAAAACTCCTTCAAAACCAGATAAGATCATCTGCATCCTCTTTTGTAAGTACTCTGGGGCTGATGATATACCGAAAGGTAATCTGTTGAAACAATATCACCCGAAAGGTGTTATAAATGTGGTTAAGAGTCTAGACGCTGGAGCTAGAGGTATCTGCCAAAATGCGCTGTTCGCATCTAGCTTGGAAAAAATTTGGCTCCTGCGAGTCTGTTGAGGGTCTCCTCTGTGCTTGGTAGTTGAAAGTTCTCCCTTCATACCCACTTGTTGAGTTGTGTCAAGTCAATACAAAGTCTAACTTTGTTGTTTTTCTTTGGGATCACAACGATACCTGAACACCAGTCTGTCGGCTCATCTACGGGTGGGATAACTCCTGAGCTCTCCATTCTGTGCATCTCAGCTTTGACTTTCTCCAGGTAGGGTAAATCCACTCTCCTGGGTGTTTTGACTGCGTACGGTTGCGCGTCCTCTTGAAGCTTTAACTCTTATATTCCCCCTGTAGTTTCCTAAGTCCTTTGAAAAGGGAAGGAAATTTCTGCTTGTAATCAGAGTGCAGCTGCAGCAATCTATTTGACAATTTTAAGTTTCTCAATAGCTGGTCTACCAAGAGGTGATTTGTTGAGACCTTTAATGACGTATACGTTCTGATGCGCTTTGCGGTTTTCCAGAGAGAATTCACAGTGAAACTTTCCAATTAAGTTCAAAGTGTTTCTACCAGGGCCTTCAGAATTTTCTGCGTAGATTTTTCACATTCAATGTCTTGAATATTTGCTCGGGTATTGCTGTAACATCAGTACCGGTATCAATTTTGAATTCAACTGAATGTTCGTTCACTTGAATTGTCGTCAACCATGGTTTGCTGTCACCAGAATTTGCACTTCCATTCTTCATCTTCATCCGATTCTATGCCAATTTCATGCAAGCTTTGACATGTTCGAGCAAAGTGTCCAATTTTATGGCATTTGTTGCATTTCTGGTTTCTAGCTGGACATCCATCCCTTCCGTGAGCTTGCGAATAACCACATCTGTGACATGACGATGATGCTCCTTTGTTATTGTGTCCACCAAACGGGTTCCCAAATTCTTTCTTGCCAGGCTTTCCAGATTGACTGATTTGGAAATGTTTCTTTCTTACTGTAGGTTTCTTCGAATTACTTACAGCGTCTACACTTGTTGTTTCTCCTGAGAATGAGGTACGTTCATCGCGAACAATAGCTTGTTGTTTCTGTACAACTTCTTTCTGACGCGCTTGATTGATGGCTTCTTCGAGTTTAAGTTGCGGATTCAGTTTTTCTGAGAGTTTACTGTCTCTTAATTATGCCTACAACTATTCTGTATCAAAACATCTCATCTTTAAGTTGTTCTTACTCACAGTGTTCAATTAGTGTATACAATGCCATTATAAAACTGTCTGCGGACTCACCCTCATGTTGTTTTCTTTGATTAAATTTGGCTCTTTCAAGGATAACGTTTCTGCGCGACACAAAATGTTCCTGGAATTTACCACTAACCTTCTCGTATTTCTTTACGTCCTCTTCCCCCAATCTAAACGAATGAAAAATGTCCTCAGCTTCATTGCCCATGGCGTAAACAAGTGTTTTAACCTGAATTGTCTCATCCTTCGTACTTAAGCCTGAAACTATTCTCAACCTTTCAAATCGTTTAATTCATTTCGGCCACTCCTCGGATTTTGTGAAAGTAAAATTTTCTGGCTGTCGAATCTGGTTCGACACCATCATAAACAAAGTCTGTACCGGCGCGAAAATCACTAGACAGATAATGTTCGTAAATACTGGATGTAGCAACGCACTTACTCCGTATAACTTCTTATTCTTGCCAGGATAAACACATTAACAAACCGCTTCTGAAACCATGTTATAATCTGGATTCGTTTAAATATGAAGAACTACCATGTGCGAGCCTTGCTGTTTATTCCACAGACAGTCACACAAAAGTATTCAGTCGTACATAGAATGTTTCATATAATGTACATTTCATCAATACACATTATCCTACACACGTGTACATACATAAACATTTTCAAAAATATGGTTAAATGTTAATTCATCAAAAGACCTAGCAGGCTAGAGAATATTACAAGATTTGGCCCTAGCAGACGAGGATAATGCAAGTTTTACAATTTGCCAAGAATTTTTCCGCTATAACTCAAAGAAACTGAAAGAGAAGAAATGTGGCGGATCTTGAGGGAGTTTAGTTTTTTCCTCTAAGAGAGAGTAAGGAGCCCCACATATTAGTTGCGTTTTCATTAAATTAAAATTACACAGCATATCTAGTTGCATGGAAGTCGGAATCAAATTGAAAGTGGGGGGGGGGGGGCTAATCGAAAGTGGGAGGGGCGGGGCTAACCCCACAAAAAAGGTAAATCCCAATTTTCAGTGCCTATATAAAGTCTGTTTTTGCGAAAAAAGTGGGGGGCACCCTCCGGTCCCGACGCCTACGAGTTGTAGATTAAATTAATCTTTAATTTTAAACTTTTAATGTAAATGCCTCTTAATTATACAGGCCCACGGTTTGTTGCGGCAGAGGACCAGGGGTACTTTGCTTATACATGTAATACTGAACATATTTTATATATTAAGAAAATCATGCAAACTCGTGCACAAGCGTTTAATGTCACGAGGAGATATATTAATATAAACATAACAATAACTTTATATTAAATATGATATTTTAAAAACAGATCACAATTTTGAACAGTCTTTAGTTGCTTCATAAAAACAAAAATTAATTGGTTTGCAGTCGATTTTTGACGCTTGCGTCAATATATGTTTCTCGTTTATATTGTTGTCAAAGTCCATGTTTTAAAATCATATACATTCAGTAAAAGCCCTGTCACACCAAGCTGCGTTGACACGGAGTCATTACGGCGTTGCTAAATTTTCAAAATCGCCGTGGAATCGCAGGAAAATTGCACACAATGTGAAAATGTCACGGCGTCCTTACGGCGACGAACGCGATTCTATGGCGATCTCTCGGCGTTTCCACAGAGATCTCCCGGCAATTTATGGCGTGTTAGAAGTTTTCATCCCGTTCTCACGACGTTCTCACTGCGCTGGCTGCGTTCACAATACTTTCACAATGTTTTCTATACTCATCGATATATATTCAGAAGGAATGTGAAACACTTTTGTTCAAATATTCAAGTTACACGATGAAAATACTTCTAATCATGCCAAGAAAAATCTTAATGATTAAAAATGTTCTTCTAAATAATTAAGTACTAAATTATTAATAGTTTTATGATTAAACTCTTTTTTTTTTTTAATTTTTATCGGGTCAGATTTGTTGTTAAATTTTTCTTTGATCTTATTATGAATGTAAAAAAAAAATAAACACACTGAAAAGTTTTTTACAAGATGTTTGTACAACAAATGCAACAAATACGTTGGAATTATTGTTGATCAAATATGATCCCATTGCTCTTGCTTTGTGAGCTGGCTGACAAAGCTCTAACAACGCCGTGAAAGCGCAATGCGATCGCCAACGGACGCTGTAGAAACGCCATGGGAGCACAATGATCGCAATGACAACTCCGTGCTGTCGCCGTGTATTCGCAGAGGAAAAAATCACAAGACGATAAATCTCATTAGAAGCGCCGTAGAAACGCGGTGACATCTCCAAGGACTCTGCGACATCTCCGTGAGGTCTCTGTGGAAGCGCAGTCTACTATCACTGCGTCTTCACGGCGTTAGTACGGAACTCCCACTACGTTGTTGGAGATCTAACCGCGCTGCTACGGCGATCATATTAGGTTTCTACTGCGTTCTTATCAGATCGCAACCACACGACGCGTACTTTGTGCATGCCCAAAGTGATAGCCGTCTCCTGGCGTTCTAGGAGACCCTTCGCGACCCTAAGGCGTTCAGCGGAGATCTTGCCGCGCTGTCATGGCGCTGTAGGAGATTCTACTGCGATCACCTCGGCGTTTTGCAATTTTTGAGGATGCCATGCCGTCGCCGTGAGGACGCAGCCCCGGTGCGACATGGGTTAAGATATGTCTTCTCACGGTCAGGTTTAACGTATAAGCAATCACCATGTGGATCATTTCGAAAATGTCATGCCCTGATTTAAAAGTTTTTAGCTGGAAATATACTGGGTATATTTTTAAAAAAATGTTTGTTTGTCGAACAACGTCCCTATCGAGAACTTTTTAATCATATAGAAACGCCACCGCTTGCCAGTGAGGTGCAAATTTTTACCTTTGCTTGGCACTCAGGACCACTGAGCAGGGAGTGATAATTTTTTAGCCATCACATTAACTGCGACATGGGACCTCGGTTTTTATGGTTGGGTCGAAGCGTTGTTGGGCCGAGGTGTCTGACATTCATCCCCACTTCCCACAGTGCGGATTCGATGTATCAGCTCCCTACTCTGTGATTCTAGAGCAGACATTATTGCCACGAATACTGCTCCACATGGGCTACTTTTAATATAACCATCTTCGTAAAAGTTCAACCAATATTCATGAAAAAATCCCATACCAAGCTATAGCTATAGTATGCATACTAAAACATTGAACATTTTGGATTTTATTTATACAACAATTACTATTTGATCAAATTTTATATTCTTTAGCATTTTATGTACCGGTATATTGATTTTGACAAATCACTTTTTTATGGGGGTTTATTTCGTTATTGTCGAGATAAAGGGAGATCGACCCACGAATTCATGACCACCACAAAATGTAAAATTTCTTATGCATTAATAATCTATACATACAACTATCTAAGAAAAAAAATATATACCCCACAATCTTTGAATATTTAACCCCATGAAAATATGCAATTTTACAGAATGCTGTTGATTATCTTCTACATGTACCACACGGTTATGTCTACACAATTTTCAAATACGTCTGCATTTAACAATAATAGGCTTCCAAAGGAGGTGATTGGCCACGGTGAAATTTCCACAGGAAGTGACGTTTATACAATGGCCATGCTGTTTTACGAGTTTTACATGGCGGTCTCTGGAAATGATCAGCTACAATCTGTACCCTTTTCCTACAAACACAGATCTCAAGTACATTTTCAATGATATTCATTAAAATACAATTATTGAAAAAATACAAATAATTCGATTATAATTGAGTTAGTAATTGTTTAATAAAGGGTGATTTACAAGTTTCGACAGTACTTATGTAATTAAAACATTCAACTCTCACACTGATAATTTTATAATATCATGTACATTATATGGTCTTTATTTTTTTATGGTTAAGCGTTTAATGAAATTAATTGTTTATCGAAGTTTTACACTAAATTCATTTTAAATGCGCAGGTTTTTCAGTATAATTTCATGATTGAATATTTTTGCACAATCGTAAGTGGACAAACTACGTGTATTTCTCAATATGAGAAAAGCATGTAATTAATGCCATTGTTTCATTTTTTGTAAGACTCTTTTTTTTATATAAATTTCTATTTCTTTTATAAACGTAGATATTAAGTCATTTAAATGACGGCCATTTTCCTAATCGGCCACCTGCTTGTCCTGAATGGTTATACGAGGAAGTGATGAAGCCATGCTGGGACCAGGACAGAACAAGTCGACCGTCAGCCGCAGATATTGAAAGCATCATAGCAAGAAAGTAAGACCGTGAGAAGCACTTATAAAGTTAGATACACGTGTAGTCAACCATGATAACTTTATTGTAATAACTTCCGGTTATAGCATTAGACAATCGTACATAAGATCATTCGTAATATGTTACACCCCCTTTTTATATGAAGAAAAATGACAGTAAAATTTCATTTGAATGAATAGCAATTACAACATGTCTTAAACTTAGCTGTTTTTCATATATGGACAATTGATATTGAAATAGAATGTCTATTTCTTGAAATTAACAAAATAAGTTCATTCCGTGTGGATTAGATACACATAGTATCCAACATTTACATGAATTGCCATTTAAACCATTCATTTGATAGAATGCTACTTGCATAACACACAATGAAAATTTTAAACATGTTCATTAACATGATCAATTACAATGACATCACAAAACACAGACACTAATATTTCATTAAATCTTTGAATCTCTGAGGACACACTACATTCCTCCCAGGTCGAGTGCGGGTTGTGTTCGAATCCAACACAGGTTGTTTACAAAGTTCGATTTCCGGACTTGGTTTTTCAAGCGGAGTAGGAGTAGGAGTGTACGGTTTGTGCGGGGTATCCATACTTTCTGGAGCTAGATCAAGAGGATCTTCAATTTTACGATCGCCTGAGATTGTTGTGGAAGTGGGACGGATGTGGCGTCTGTTGCGGCGATAGCGTTTCCCGTACTGTGTTTCAAGAATGTAGGATCTTGGAGAACTGTGTTGTTTCACAACTACTGCAGGAGTCCATTTGATTTCATAGCGCATGATAGTAGTATCTCCAGGAAAAAGATCACGCAACTCCTTTCCAGCATGTGCATCAAAGATCAGCTTTTATTGGAATTTGTGAGTTTTAAGGCATTCTTGAATATCCTGCATGCCAACTGTTTTGGATTCCAAGAGTGGTGATGCTACAGGTAAGTCAGTATCGAGACGACTACCGAAGAATAATTGTGCTGGGGACATTCCTAGGATGTCAAATGTAGTGTTCTGTAAGCAAGTATGGCTTTGTAAGGATCAGAATACTTGCGTAGTAGTTGTTTTACTGTTTGTACAGTGCGCTCAATCTGCCCGTTCGCTTGTGGAAAGTGTCGGCTTGTTATCACGTGAATAAGCTATAATCCCTTGATAATTGACTGAAGGATTCGCTGGAAAATTGGGACCGTGGTCCGATATGAATTTCTCAGGTATCCCATAACGTGAAAAGATGCTTTTCAAATGTAAGATGGTCCTGCCACTAGTCTGGTTTTCACGTTTAGCAAATTCAGGCCACTTTGAGAAGTGATCAATGCAAAGCAAGTACGATTGTCCTTGAAAATCAAACATCAGCTGATACAATGAATGCGGTCTAGCATTTCTTTTCGCAGTGTGGTCGGTACTATGATTTATGTCCTTTGAACATTAAAACATCGATGCAGGTAATCTCGTCCCGGAAAGGCCAAAACAGATAAGTGGATATTGGTAAGTTGTCCTTGCTATTGCCAACCAGATTTGACTACTGCCCAGCAATGTTTGAAGATCCAGGTATTCTTGTGTTGCTTTCTGAAATCGCTCGTACTCTTCTTGTGTCATGCATTAGAGTTGCCTTCAATATCAGGCATGCCTGTTCTTTTGTTTCCTTAAGGAATGCACGGCTAAGGGTATCTGCCAAAATATGGATTTTCCAGGTTTATATACAACTTCAAGGTCATAACGCTGCAATTTTAGCAGAAGTGACTGTAGTCTGGCAGGTGCTTGATAAAGCAGCTTGCATAAAATTGCCTGGAGTGGCTTGTGGTCACTCTCAACTAATGCTTGGCGACCAAATATGTACTGATGAAATTTGGTACATCCGAATGATATGGCTAAGGCCCCCTTTTCAATTTTGGCGTAGTTTTGCTGATTCTTTCTTAAAGCTCGCGACCCACATGCAATTGGCTGACCATCCTGAACAAGAGCAGCACCAATGCCTTTTGAGCTGGCACCTACAGTCAAGGTAAGTGGCTTTCTCAGGTCATGGCAACGCAATACAGGTGTGTTGCTGACGAGACGCTTTAAAGTTTGAAAGCTTTCCTCCCGTGGTTTTTCCCAGTGGAAGCAGACATCCTGTTCCAGGAAAGTTCTGAGTGATAAACTCAATTTGGATAAGTTTGGTAAAGACTTTCCAAGGAAATGTTTGTAGTTCTGAAACATTCTGTGGAGCAGCCATATCTTTAACAGTGCGAATTTTCTCAGGATCAGGCTAAATCCCTTCTGAGTTAAGTAGATATTCTACATATGCGACCTGGCTCTTCCGGAACTCAAACTTCTCAAGACTCAGTTTCAGATTGCGATCCTGGATGCAATTCACGACAGCTCTAGGTCCATAATCATGTTCCTTCATGTCTTTTCCCCATATCAGTATATCGTCTATTATTGCTTCACATCCTTTCAGGTCCCTGACTATATCCGAAATTGTACGTTGGTAAATTTCAAAAGCAGAGTTTATGCCAAATAGTAGCCTGGTAAACCTATAGCGCCCGTATGGAGTATTAAAAGTGCAGAGCTTCGAACTTTCTTCTATGAGACCAATTTGCCAAAACCCAGATCTGGCGTCTTATTTAGAAAACACCTTGGCTTCGGTGATCTGCTGTATGACGTCCTCAATAATCTTGATTAGGTAGTGTTCTCTGGAAATGGCTCTGTATCGATCCTTGGGATCTATGCAAATACGCAACTTTCTATTTGGTTTCAATACGGTCACTATCGAATTAACCCATGCTGTGGGTTCTTTCTGCTGAACAATGACGTGTTCCATGCGGTTGAGTTCATCGTTGATGTTGTCACGAAGCGCTAATGGCACATGGCAAGATGGGTGTTTAACTCGAGGCACCAACGGATCAATAGAAATAGCTCATCAGCATCTGAAGGATCTTTATCAGGGTCAGGGATATGTACTGTGTTAACACGTTTTGAGCTTGAGCGACATTTTTTCGCAAAATGGTCAAGGCGGCCACATTTATGACACCAATTTCCCTTGTCTGGACATGCTGAAGTGGATGCACTGTGTGAATATCCGCAACGCGAACAATCATCAATTTGCTGTGGTTTTGTATGGTGCGAATTAGATTTCTGTCGTTGATGTTGTTTACCATTGTTTAAAGGAGCGGCTTTGTTTGGTTTGGTGGATTTCCACGACTTATATGTAGGTTGTTTGAACGGTAGTTTGCTGCGAATGGCATGAACTGAAGCGTCTTCTCCAGATACGAGGGCTGTTTATTAAATAATGTCCTGAACTGTTTGACATACAATACAGATATCATATGGCATTAAACTTGAATTTCTCTCATTATTGAATCTTTAATGAATTTATAACAGTTTATGTGATCACTTTTCATCACATAGTTTCATCTTGAGAAGCTGGGAAACAAAGGCTATTCGAGACACTGCATCATAGGATATCATATTATTAGCATTATAAATGTATGGCAAAGAATCAGTAAACTAAAATGAAAATAAAAGCTTCACTAAAGCTGCTGTAAAACTTGTTAAAAATTCCAAAGAAATATTCACTGTAATATGTGACATTTACAGAAACCAATACCTGTTTTATAGACAAATGAGCAGGTGGATTTCAATGATAAAAATTATATAATGGGCATCAAAAATGGGTACTAGTCTGCCCTTTGCATAGTTAACCGCTATTGATACACCACACAAAGCACTGGAAACAGTTTATACTTGTTTATCTTGTAAGTCTGCATGTTAAGTATGATGACAACGTATGATGTATGATGACGTGACGTATAACGACTGTAACTAAGGTAACGTTGGTAACTAAGGTATAACGATGGTCATGTAACGTATAGCGTAGAGCGGTAAGAAGCTACAAAATAACAATAACTTTCATAAATATAATGTTACACAGCACAAAAATGTTACAAGTTCATTTAAACACTAGTAAATAAGATAATTCACCTTCAAAAATGCCAAAAATGCAATTGTCTAGCCAAGCAAATAAATTTCCAAACTTGCAGAAAGAACTACAAATTTACACTTGAAAATAAATAATAAATTTCCATATGCAAATATGTATAGCAATAAACCTATAATAAGTAACAATTCAAATAAATTCTTGAACCAAATTATCAAAAAGAATAAGTATAAAACTTACATTTGTGACTTGGCTACCCCGACAAACTAATGGTGCTAAAACTGCACGACGATGAATCTTCAGTCAAAGGAGATAATTTTATACACCAGTTTACAAAAAATGGAATACCAAACCCGATCAAATTAAACATAATGATCGCATAACAAGACAGGTACCGTACTTGCCAACAAAAATTATAACAATTTATGTACTGTTGGACAAATTCCAACAAATAATGTTTGATGATGTATGACTGACTTTAAGACACATAGCAAATTTGATAGATACCATATCGGGAGTAGTTCACACTGTTTGTAAGAAACGTTTGACGGTAATAAAGCTTGATCAAAGGCCACCCTATATTTTGAAAAATGTGTAAAAACGACAGCGTTTACGAAAGTCTTAATTATTTTAAAATATCAGTATTTGTAGTTATCCAAGTTTGTTTTATATTTAAACAGATATTGGAACATGAATCTATTGTTTATAACCCTCAAAACAAAATTTAGCATAAGATGTACTTGATAAAAACGGCGAAGGTCTGACAAGAGTAAAGGTATGCAAAAGCACAAAGACAGATTTATATGCAATTTTCTTAAACATTAGCGGTATTGTTGTTCAAATTCATATTCGGGAGACAGTTTCATTCTGTTGGCGTCTACAAAGCAATTTTTGCAAAAACATCCAAAGGCTTATTAGAGGACGGACCCAGAATCAGGAATCTCTTCATGTCAGCATCCAAACCCGCACACCCAGAAGAGTAAAGTGGTTTTCGGGATAAACAGAAAGTTAATGTTTTTTTCACATTAACAATATTCGCCAGATCTTTGAACTTTTGTCTTGTTTCTATTTCCAAACTTGAAGAAGGAAAAAAGACATCCAGGAAATCATTGGATCTGTCATTTTCCAGTATACTAAGGGTCATACCCCAAAATGAGTTCTAAAAACAATAAAAAAAAATTAGATAAAAAGTTACGGACATGTGTTTTAATTAAAAGAGATAAATAAGTAAAATCATGGGGACTAAATCATTGAAAACCGTCTTTTGCTTCTTTCTGAGCACCGAGGACATTATTTATTGAACAGCCCTCGTATTTGTCTTGCCTGAGATGTAGATTGTTCATGAAGTCGTGCAATGTCAAGTGATTTCTGTAGGGTCAATTCAAACCCAACGTTGATGAGTTTTTCGCGTATTTTGTGCGATTTTACACCGATGACAATTCGATCTCTGACAATTTCATCACTGTTGACATAGTCACAATCACGAACAAGTAATCTTAATTCTGTAACAACTGATCAAATGTTTCTGTGTCCGACTAAACTCTAGTTTGAAATCTGTAGGAAAGGAATAATACCCTGATAGTATAAAGCCCTCTTCACCTGATCACAAATATATACTGAAATAAATAGCTTTTATGTGCACAAACCTGATAATATTATCAGGGAATAATAAAAAGTTTACAAAGAGTTTTTTTCTGAAAAATATCGATTTTCCATTGCTCAAAAGCACGTTTAACTTAACAAGGGGTATAATGTCCTGATTTTGAATGCCCTGATTTTCACTAATGACCTGATTTAAATACTTATGCCTACGCGTATACTCAATCATTGTAATTATTGAAAATATGAAGAACTTCCTTATACTTTTATGTTCTTTTTAAATTTATTTCTTTTATTTCTTCATTCTGTTTGTATTTTTAAGTTGATACATTATATATAGCACATGCATTTTATTGTAGAAATAATCTTACCTATGCATTTTATTATATTGTGCTATAGGTTGTTGGACACATTTAATCAAAAAAACATTTTAGTTTCTTTTATAGTTTAAGATAAAATGATTAGTTACATGCTTTGTGATGAACAAAGTTGATCAATTTAAGACGTTGGTAGCCAAACATTATTTTTATTCACAAATATAGGGGAAATAGGGGAAATGAAGATATTTTAAATATATCCTGAGGAAAATGAATGTTTTAAAACTTAGATAAAAGAAATATTATGTTTTGCTTATTCTGAATAACAAATTCAGTTTTTTTTTTTGGTCAGACTTAAAATATATTTCTTTTAATATTTATATAAGATGTCGAATGAATAAAGTATCTTCGGGATACAATTTTAGGTATCATATTTCAAAAATGAACATGTATACGTTAATATTATAAATTGATCATAAATTTGAACCAAAATAAAATAAAACAAGAAAGTTGATCATGCATTGATTGATTATTATGTTTGATAGTGTCCAATGGGCATAGAGGCCCACATATCCTGTTTACTACCTCCCATTTATGGCTTTCTAATTATCACACGTGTATTCCCAGTCAACCATGATCTGCTGACCGCATATTTTATAAACACACATACCTTATAAATTCATTTCATAATTCTCCAATTTGACTATTGCACATTACATTAAAGACAAAATTATTAAAATTAAATAGTCTAGCACATTTGAATTTATATACTTACAATGTAGTATAATGAAGATTTGGAATATCTGCCTCATAACTTCATAGGAGCTAAGCATTCTAGCTAATAAACTTTTTTTTTTTTTTTTTTTTTTTTTTTTTAAAAAAAACGTTTCTCTCTGCATATCTTAATATTATTTTAGCTTGATTATCATGTTTATTTTTATGCGCCCGAATTTATTCGGGGCGTATATTGTTTTTTACCTTCTGTCTGTCTGTTTATCTGTTTGTCTTTTTGTCTGTCTGTTGTCAACTTTAACCTTGGCCATCACTTTTCAACCGTGAGAGATAGAGACTTCATATTTGGTATGCATTCTCCACTAATTAAGCACTTTCAACTGACACCAAGGTCAATGACCTTGTGACCTTGACTGTGACCTATATGCTAAAAATAGCTTTTTCGAACTTTTGCCATAACTTTTGAACCAAAGGAGATAGAGACTTCATATTTGGTATGCATACTCCACTAATTTTAAAAGTTCTTTCAAAGGACAATGATGGCGTGACCTTGACTGTGACCTCTTTGCTAAAATTGCTTTATTAGAACTTTGCTGCCGCCGGGCGCATAGTGTTTCACAAACACATCCTGTTCATCACATAAAAATTATATCTGTTCAATATTGTTTAAAACAATGACCTTATATTATTTATGAAAAGATATCTTGGACACATTAACTTTTGTTTAATTTATTCACATTAGAGTACGTACGTACATGTATGAAAATATATACCAAATCATTTATGTTTTTAAAAAGTGAAGGTATTTAAGTTTACATGTCATTACTGTCCCAATTAATAGATGGGCTTGATCCTATAAGACTTTCCATCGTCCTTTTTAGAGATGATGGCTTTCGATGGCTTGGATTTGGCACGGTTCTGACACCATATAAAGTTAAAGGCATGTCCAATCCAGCATTAAATTTGTTAAATAGGAAACAGTGTGTGAAGATTGGTTCCCATTTAAGTGAAATGTTGGATATTCTGAAAGGTGTTCCTCGAGGATCCATTCTTGGCCTGTATTTTTTAATATTTTTATTAATGACCTGTTCTTTTTTTGTTAAAAACTGCACCCTCTACAATTATGCAGATGACAATACCCTCAAATAATAAAATGAAGGCAAATCCTGAAATTCCAAGCAATCGCAATCGGGGCAACAAAAAAAAAACTTTTTTGACCTGGAAAATGTTCTCATCAAATGTGAAGATGAAGTTAAACTTTTAGGAATTACAATGGATTTTAAACTAAATTTTAACACTCATATTTCAGAGATATGTAAGAAGGCAGCGAGACAACTAAATGTTTTGAAACGGATTGTGAAATATCTGAATAGATTAAGAAAGCCTACTATAAATCATAGTTTATTATGTTAAATTTTAGTTATTGCCCCCTGACTTGGCTTTCGTAGTGAGAAAAGTACTCAAAAAATAGAAAATTCAGCTAAGAGCGCTGCGTTTTATTTATAACGATTATGAAAGCTCATATGAACAACTATTGGGAAGACTCCCTAAAGACCAGAAGAATGAGATTACTGACATTAGAAACATTTAAAATTATTAATAAAAAGAGTCCAATCTAACTTCAAGATCTGGTCATAGTTACAGAAAACTCATATAATTTTAGGTATTCTAAAGCCGCAGAAATTCCCAGACCCAAAACTACAAGGTATGGAAAAGATTTTTTCAGATATTAGGCAGCAAGGACATGGAATACCTTTCCTAATGATATCCGAAACACCACATCCTTTAATTTATTCAAGAACTACGTATCTAGCTGGTGTGGATATCAGAAATATAACTGTAGTGTATGTAAATACCAGTCCTTGCTGCCTTTGTCTGATAAGCCTTCCTAAATGTTCTTTTGTGGTGATTTGAACTATTTGTGTGCGTATGCTTTTGTTTTGTTTATTTATTTTTTCTCTTCTACTATTCTTATTTTTTCTATGTTCTGTGAATGTCCATATGTGTTCCAAGCATATGTATAATTGCTTTCTATGTTGCTTTCCTTGCTGTCCAGATATCATTTCTGTCAGTGTTTGTAAATGTTATGTACTGTATACTGCGCTTTATGGATGTTCTTACTTTTGACAGTCATATATTATTTATTTCTCTCAATTATTGTTTTTAAAATTTCATCCGCATGATCAGTGCTTATTAGGTTTTGAGCTTTATATTTCTTTTGACTGTGATAATCATCCGTGTGCAAAACAATTTATGCTGCTTCTTTTTTTAAGTTATTTTTTGGAATAGGTGCTAGTATCTGTGGTTTTTTTCTTTATCTTTAAAGTGACATTTTAAATGGTTTCATTTAAATTATCTTTTGTTTTACTAACAATGTATATTTTTACTAATTTTTATCTGTGTGTAAATATGTCGGTTAAAGAGCTCACCACAGCTCATGTTATTTCTGTTGTATATATGTTCCGGCTATAAATAAAATTTACTTGACTTGACTAGACACACGTGTAGTCAACCATGATAACTTTCTTGTAATAACTTCCGGTTACAGCATTAAACAATCGTACATTAGATCATTCGTAATATGTTCCCTTCATACTGGAAATCAAAACACTTTAACTGCCGTCTTTCAATTTCTTATTGGCATTCAAAAATTTGACCTTTTAAATCTCGACTTATTCAGTGGTTCAAAGCAACACGGTACCCAAATCCTAGTTAAAGTGTAAACCTCTTGCACTGTCTTAGACTTAATACATATACACTAATATTTATTGTTCAACGGTTGCGTTGCTCTTCTTATAAAACTTAACCTATACATTAATATTATCATGTGGCAGTAACGTAACTAAAATTCTCTGAGCTAGTATATCGTTTTTGCTTGGGTATAACTATATTTTTTCTTCTCGCTGACATGCTACTGCTTGTTATTTTGGCATACCTAAAGAACTCTCATAATATTATCGAGAATCACTTAAAATATTTCTTGATACATTCAAAGCATCAACATTGAAACAGACTTTTGATCCAAACACAATAAAGACTCTGCTTTCTAAAATGTTATGCTTCTCATTTAAGATCATAGCTGGCACAATAGTCCCTTTTTTTCTCCTCATTCTAAATCGAATATCAGTAAAAATAACATTAGAAAAGAAACTTCTTTTGAAAAATTACAGGAATACAGCAATATATGAAAGAAAGACAGACACGGAGGTCGAAACGTATGACAATTTTGAAATCAATTTTGAAGCTTACCAAGATGCGATCTCAGACAAAAGGGCTAGTGGTGGCGAAAGTGACGAAGATTATGTTTATGTAGAGAAACATCAACCTACAGATTCTTGCAGTGGAATACCATCATCAGAGAAGAACGGTTATTATAATGATGAAAGAATCTCCGAAGAAATAATTCTAGATACAAACGCATCAAATGGAGCCCAATCTTCAGCAAGAAAAGAATCTTTAAAATTAAAGCAAAAGACAGTAATTCAGAGAACCCTAGAAAGAAATTATTTTGAGCATGCTGATACACATGATGATCAGTCTTTTGGAAAGATAGATGTTCCGAATTATGAACTGTTTTCTGAATCGGGAGAGTTTGATGCTGGAACCGACACCTACAGTGAAATTCCAGATTACGACAATAGAGCCATCCATTCCTTATCCTTGGACCAACAACCATTTCGAAGTATTAGGACAACTAATATGGTTCTACCTTTACCCCATGTACACAAAGAAAACCCAATATTCCAAACTGATTCCTCTGTCCATCCATGTGAAAAAGACAATCCCAGCATCCGGTAGATTTTACATTTCATATACCTGCACATTCAATTAGTGTACTGTACTAAATCACAAATTTCAACTGCAGAAAGCCCCTGTACACAAGAGGATTTATCAGATGATTTTGGACAATGAAAACTATGATGTAAACTGATATTTATGCAAACTTATGATACAAAGCTGATGAATATTTATTACAAAAGCCCTTGATTTCCATAAATATTTGAGTGCTTCTATGTGCGAAGTGATTCATATTCTCGGAAACACATTGAAATGTGGGTGGCCAATTGAAAGTAAAGGAGGGTGGGGGAGCTTAACCAACAAAAAAGGTAAACCCCATTTTCAATGCCTATATCATGTTTGTCTTTGGGGATAATATATATCTGTGTCTCCTGATATTTTTTTTAAACTTTCCAATCTAAGGAGGGAGTATTTTTTATGCATTTTACTCCTATTCAACTTATATTTGATTACATATCTTAATAGTAACATCATAATGTATCTGATATGGATATTTTTTGGCTTGCAGAATCCCAATGAATATCACTTCATTGAGAAGCATAAATTTATGCTTATACTTTTGAGATTCTTTTTTCTTTCGAAAGTTTAATCCAAAAATGGCATGATATGTTTCTGATATTAATAAACCTGAAGGGAGGCCGCGAAATTAGCACTTTTAACCATATTAATTCATTTTTGAAAATTTTTACAAATCCAAAAACATAGCATAGAAGCGAGAAAAGCCACGTAATATAACTATATAAATTCAATAGAAGCAAGAAAAGCAACGTAATTTAACTACATGTATATAAATTCAATTTCCTTAGCTATTACATTTAAACTTGCATATATCTGTATACATTCTGCTTTACAATACCTATTTTTTAACTATATTTAGTATAAGGTACTATGCTTTTTTCTGTAAATACGGGAAATACCATGCACATCGAGAACGTTCTTAATAATGATATAAAAATCCCCCCAAACGGACAAAAAAAATTACATCTGAGTGAATACTACGTAATCATTCACAGATATCTATTATTAAAAAAGTTCCTTTTTCAACGCCTTTTAGCCAACAGACACCTGAAAAATGGTTGCTGTAGCACCCCCTTTCTTCTGAGGGTTTCTTAGACATTAACTGAGGCCAAAGTAAAACTGTGGATTTTTTTGTTTTAAAGTGTGTCAAATTCCAAGGTCAAAAGGTCAAAAATTGGTTGTACCCAAAGAAAGGTCTTGTCACAAAAAATACAAACTGTGATCATGAAATATGAATGTCATAGTCTCATCCGGTCAAATGTTATGGGCAATGTCAAAGTTTTTGCAGACAAACAGACAGACGAACGGACAGGTCCAAAACTATATACCCCTGAAACTACTTTTACAGGACATAAATATAATATGTAAACTAACCTTTTCATAACCCAACATTTTTTAATTGGTAAAAACTCTTAAAAACATCACATGTAAGTACATTTAGAAATTGGAATAAAGTGCCGAGTCACAGCATGATACGCCCGTTAAAAAATTACAATTTTCTTGAACAGTTTAGAGTGGAAGAAAATCATGTCAACCTTGTTTTTGTTAGACCTTGTCAAATGCCCATCATGTTAAACAATATCAAATTAGTCTTAACACCTTAATCTATACCAAATTATTTTTGAAAAGAAAAGACTGGCCATCAAATGACATATGCTATAAACTTCTGTCTAATCCCCAAAGGATACAGATAAGACTGCTTGATCAGAGATGCTCTAAGGAAATGATTGAAACAGCTAGCCTTCCTACATTGGACTCATTAATTAATCATTAACTGGATGCTTGTCTACTCATTATGTACCAAGAGATGAATAGGTCTCCACTATCTACCATAAGATTTTTTTGGTTGAGATTTAATGTCCGACAGGCTTTAATATGTAATTCATATGGACATGCCGATTCCATTCCACCCCATAAAATTAGTTTTTGAATTAATAATATTATATAATATAAGATTAGTCTACCATGTAATTTCAAATTAGTTTTAATTACTTTTCATCAAATTCATTTTAAAACTTGCCCAATACCCAAGGGATAAAGATAACACCGATGCTCTACCAGTTAGCTCCTCACACTAAACTTATTAATTTTTCTCTAATTTGACTTGCAATTTTCTGATATCAAAATTTTTCTTGACCAGTGCTTGATAATTACACTCATGGGAGAGGTAGGATTTCTCTAACATACATCATATTTGTTATAGATTGCTGTCAAGTATATGCTTAAAAAATAAGCATTTTCTTGATTTAACACTTTTATAATATGGACAGTGCAATATTCTTACATTATTTGCGATGTGTAAAAAAACAATTTTGTTTAATTTCACTTAAATTAAAGGTCACGGCTTCTACCTAAGATGCATCAGATGACAAAGTTTGATATCCTATGCCTAATAGTATTAAAGTTATGAGCCGGAAACGAAAAAGCTAACAGACAGACAAATGAAACCTATAACATAATTCGTCCCGTCCTAAGACAAGCGTAAAAAACGATATCACATGTGCCAATTTTTGGTAAGACGAAAACTTTTTCCTTTAGTTAATCATTTTTATGCTCAAACCCCCATTTTGTTAAGCTTTTGTTAACAATAGCAAACGATAAAAGACATTTTAAGGGTTTTAAGCAAACCACTTTTTGTTTTTTGGTATCATTTATGATAGGTCAGAGGCAATTTAATTTAGTACTTTAATATTTTAATAAATTAAACCATCCCTATTTTTATGAGAAGTTTGAAACTTTGTTCATAAGGAAACTATATATATTTATCAGGATCCAATTTTCAAAGCAAACTCCCTTTTTTGCGCCAGTTTTTGAAAATTAAATTTTATTTTGATTTTTGCAATTTTTATTTATCCAGGGTAAAATCAGAGATTTACTTTCATGGAAACTTTTTAAAATTCTTTTAATGACACCAACTAAAAAATGAAAACTGTGGAAACCTACTGTATAAAATGTAATAAACAAATCTATAAATGTGCGTATCTTTGCTCTAATAACCTTAGAACATTTTAATAGATATTGTTTTCCTTTAATGGGGATAAAAAGGTTTGTATTATTAATATAAGGTATAGTAATAGCTTTGATTTTGTTATTTTATCTAGCTAAATCTCTCAGAGATGAACACTTCATATCACAAGGCTTATGGCATGCCCTTTTGCTATTTATTCGGAAAATAAAATTCATCTGAAATTTACAGAGATATCTCTCGTTTTAGAGAGATATCTATAAGAAATAGAGATATCTCCAAACTTAAAAGGAAATCTCTCATTTTTAAGAGATATCTCTTTGAGAAAGAGATATATCTTAAACTTAGAGGGATATCTCTTATACTTGGAGAGATATCTATTTTTATAAGAGAGATATCTTTTCCACTTGAACAGATTTCTCTTGCTCCTTGAGAGATATTTTTTCGTTAAAAGAGATGCCTCTGAGCGTTAAAGAGATATCTATTTCAGAGAGATATCTCTTTTGCTTTGGGAGATATCTTTCCAAGTTAAAGGGATATTCGTAAAGTAAAAGAGATATCTCTCGTAGTTTATCCTAAGGGATATCTCTTAAAGTGAAAGAGATATATTTCAAGTGTCTAAAAGAGATATCTTTCAAGCAAAAAGAGATATCTCTTTATTGCAAAGAGATATATCTCCTAATTATTTTTATTTAAATTCCATTTGAATTGACTTCTCCCTTTACCGGAAGTAAGCTGTTGATTCACAGAAGTACATTAAAGTATTTTTAAAAATCGACATATTTATGATATTTTACATTATAGTTTTACTCAACATGACAAGGAATGCAGTGCCGTCTAGATTTCAAACTAGTAATCGTTTATTATATAATAAGCTGCATGAGAAAATTCGGTCCATTGCATTTGAGATTTTATGCTTACTTTCGTTTTCCTGAATATTAAACTTTTAGCATTTTTATCAACGAAGTTGCCATTTGTATTATTTGTTGATTCATACAAGGGATTTATAGCATTTTTGTCTACATAGAACATATATTAGTCTTGGTATTGCATGTTCAGTCTTTTTTCTTATAACAGCAAAATTATTACAGAGACTTTACTTCCTGTTTTGCTTTCGTTGAAAAGAGGAGAATTAATTATTTTGTTTTGAGGATTAATGGAAAATAGATATCTCTTTCATCATAAGAGATATCTCTTTAACTTAGAAAGATATCTCTTTTTGAAAATCTAAAGAGATATTTCTCTAAATAAGAAAGATATCTCTTTCAACCTTGTTTAAGAGATACAGGGATTTTTCACTTTCCTGTGTAGAGCCGGATATGGGCCCCATTCCCAATGCAAAATCACTCTTTTTTCCCCAAAACTGGACAGCCTCAGTGTTAATTTTTTGAAAAATATTCATGTTAAACAAACATGGTTGAGGTTTGAACTCTTAATGAAATGAACATAATTTTATGAGACTTGGCTATAACTTAATAAAAGATCTATTTTCTGAAGTAAATTTCTGAAACATGAAGTAAAATATCAATTTTAACTATCATAATTAAGTGTTTATTTATTGAAATACATCTTGCTGTAAAATTTCCCAAAAAGTTGTAAAATGTTGTAAAATTCCCAATGGAGTTGAAAATCCCTGGTCATATATCTCTTTTCCTTTAAAAGATATCTCTCTCGCTTAAAAAGATATATCTCTAAGTTATAAAGTTATTTCTCTAAGTAAAAGAGATATCTCTCTCACAAAAATTCAGAGCTTTTTTTAAAAAGAGATATCTCTCTAAGGTATAAAGACATCTCAATAAGCCAATGATGATCCCTATAAGCTAAAGAGATATCTCTCTCTGCTACAGAGATATCTCTTTTATTGACAGAAAATTTTTATTTCACGAATAAATAGTAAAAGGGCTTGCCATATAAGACTGGTTGAGATTACCCGTATGCATTCGCTTTTGTTTTAAAACAAGAATATTCCTACCAAAACGGTGTAACGACGAAAAGTGACCCCGTAGAATATTGACCGGGGGTCATTTTTCACGTAGAAATTTGACCCCCTGGTCAATATTCTACGTAGAAAAATGACCCACTTTTCTGTAGAAATTATGGTCTTGGGGTCATTTTTCTCCGTGTGCATTGTAGAAAATTTACCACGTCATTTTTTGATGAAAAAACAATTCGTTTTAGTAGGACTATTCTTGTTAGGCGAATGCATACAGGAAATATCAAGCTGCCTTATGCTTTGAAGTGTTAATTTCTGAAAGCTTTTAAGCTAAAATAACGAAATCAAAGCTATAAAAAAAACTTATATTAAAGGTACTTGGACACAGATTTGAAGTTAATATTTTCTCTGTAATATTAAGACATATATATTCTAATAGTATTTCACTCAA